CGTGTGCAAGTTGCGCACGTCAAAGATCCCTTGGTGATCTAAAATCGAAAAGAGTATGCTTCGACCGCCACCCGGGCAAAATTCAAAATTTCTTACCAACTGAAAATGTTTTGTGTGTTCCGTGCGCTCATATGACCTTATATATACAGTTGTGAGCGCCGTAAAATACTTACTAATAATAATAATAAAAAAAGAAATAACTATTATTACTATGCCTACCGCGTTTCCACTTGTCTCCTCCACAATCATTGTACGAGCGTATATGAGCGCTCTCAGCCTTGTTTAAACAATACTGGAATGCGATGTGTATGTGATCCGTTGTGTGACATTCTTAAACGTGTTTGGTGAGTTTTCAAAGCCCCCAGACCACGTGAATTGGCCCAGTCTGAGAAAGAGGATGAACCAAAGCTCCGTCCTTGTTAACAGCGATAAAACTCTGAAAGGGCCTTTAAACGTACGCCTCTGATGTATTATATGAATCATAGCATTATAGGACATCAATAGCTACCGGTATTGTTAATTACAGCTTGTCTTTACACTTATTAACGCTCGGATAGATGTTTACTACAGATCTTTGTGAAACTTCAAGTAACCTACGAGGTTTGAGCTAGAATTAATAATGTTACTGTAAAAATCAAACGTTTTTATTTCAAAGACATGGTTATGTACATGCTTCCACTCTTTATACTTCGATATCAAATTGCTTTTCGGCTTCGGATGGGGGTACGAAAAGAATTTTTTTTAAATGGGCAAAGGTTCGAAACATGAACTATGTAAGGATGACCAAGACAGCTTCCTGCCAGAACTTCAAATCGAGTTCTGACCACATTCATTAGCTCTCACAACTCACTTACATTCACCCAATTGTGTTAACAAAAGTACACAGTCCTGGTCTTTGTCAATCACGGGCCTGTTCTGGTTCTGGAATTCAGTTATTTTGAATTATCCTTCCTGTCTGAGGGATTGGCTTTTCTCAGGCGGACAAAGGGATATAAATAGTCTGTGGAGCCAACAGTAGGAAGTACATCTGCCCCAACGATGTGTGTCGCTTTCTTACGCAGAATATGTTTTCGTTTCCCCATAATTAAACTTTAGCTTATGTAAAGCTCTCCTCTCTTTGCGTATCTCTGCTGGGAGTCCAGTTTTTAAAAAAACGCGCAAACCCCCCCCCAAAAAAAAAACAAGCTAAAAACAAAAAACAAACCCCAAACCCAAACCTTTTCCTTTGTAGCCTCAGAACTTGAGACTGACTAGGTAGATGGCATTCGTAACAGGTGGTCAAATCATTTTTTATATTTTTGATGGTCAAAAATCAGTTCTGAGGGAATACCTGTCTCATACATACAAAGTACACGTGTGTACAGTGGCGTCACTAGCCTAGTGGTTAGACTGCCAAACTCGTAATCGTGAGGGTTCGGGAAGTGGCGGTGCGCCATTGGTGCAATTGGTACATGCGCTCCACCTTATCCTGGCCTTCACCCCCCGCTTTTCTTATTGTTCTAAACCAGTCAGTGCTCTAGATGTACATGACATTAACACATCCTTGCAATCCGAAACCCGCTGGCTGCGCCAGTGAAGAGACAGACAGCGAGGATGGTTTATGCTTTTCGCACCGCTTGCGGTAGTGTCTGCTGTTAGCAAGCAAAATCTTTGCGCCAAAGTAATTAATCTTTGTCACTTTAGAGAAATCTAGGCATCGTTCTTCCCGCACAAGAAGAAAGGTGAATGAAACTACTCTTCGTAGCACCAATTTCGTGCAAACTAAAAATTTGATCCAGATTTCGCTAGCCTATCTACTACACTAGTAGAGTCTACGGTAACTCCATGAAGAATGGGTATTGAAACTGTTGTCCCCCTCTATTGTGTAGCAAGTCCTGGAGCTGCACGAAGTAATTGGAAATTTGTAAATCTTCTCAGATTGTGAGCATAGTGAGTTGTTAGTATTGTTTCACTTCATTGCAGCTTTTATGCGGTTTCATCTAGAAACAATTGCAAATATCGATAGATGTAGATTGCGGGATGTCCTGCAGATTCTAATTGACTTTCTCTAGAAATCTTAATAGCAGCTACTAAGCCTATTGCCCATTTGCTCACTTTCCAATTATGCACCACCTTGTCTGCAACCCACGCGACGCCACTGGTTCGGGGGTTCGAACCTCAGCTCGGTCCCACGTTGTTTCCTTGGGAAACAGGGGCGAAGGCTGACTTGTTTGACAGGGTAATCAAAGTGAAATGGAACCAGATAGGGCCTGGAGATATCACACTCACACAAGTCACAAGAATCTTACTGGCACTGGAGGCGGCAACTCTGAGTTGTGAATGAAAACAAATCCTGAATTCATGTTGTATGCTTGTTCAACCGCCAAAATAATCGGGAAAGTAATTCATTAAATATTTATTCTAACTAACCTTAAATTTAACTATAGATTTGAACACACGAACACCAAGGAAAGAAGCAGAGATGTCAGCACTACAATGGCATGTTATACCAGACAGCCGAAACACGTTGGTAGAGCATGCCAATTATTAATTTTTTATTTCACATTTGGCTGTTTTTTTGTCTAGCTTTTCGCGGCCAGGAGCCGGTGTAATAATCGAGGTCACGATCTGATTATAGAACGTTAAAAAGTCGAGGAAAAAAAACAAGCACTAGCAGTGTAGTAGCAGGAGTCAAAGGATTATTAGGAGTGGGGGGATAGACCAGTGTAATAGTTCGCTTACCTAATCAGCGCGTCTGGGTGCTTATAACTGTGGCCCGAAAGGGGTGAACAGGGTATATGCAACAATGAAACAGTTCTGACTGCTATGCACATGTTCCCTTAAACTCTATTGGTTGACTCTTCCAGCCTCACTTTATGCTTACTTAATCAAAGCTTGTGACTGCTTATGGAGTGGCACGATAGGGGCGAACAGGCTATTTCTGTGGCAATGAAACGGTTTTGAAGGTTAGGCATAGTCTATTGTTCATTGGTGATTATGAACGTCTTTTTACATTTAATTTATGAGGTTTATGGGTGAATTTGACAGCGACAACGTTTCAAAATTAGGAAGGGAAGCAGTGATTATTTGATTATATAGACCCTTCGCCTCTGTTGGGAAAGGCACTTTACACGAAATTCCCATTTGGCTCGGTCCTTTCGGAGGTGGACGTTAAACTCGGAGGTTCCGTCTCTTAAATAATCTAATAGTGTTGATAGAGACGTTGAACCCATATCATTTCATCATTTTTTCACGTGTGTACACTCTTCACATTCTCAGTAAGACATATGACATTATGGCAGCACACTCAATGACGACATACATATCACATTATGAACATAACAGGATCATGAGTAAGGAGTGTTATACGGGGTGCCCACTACGGCTGGATCGGGCCGATCGCCAGACTCGATCGCCTGAAATTGAAATCAAACATGTTTGTTTTTGAGGCGATCGAGTCAGGCGATAGCCTCGATCGACCGATCCCGTCCGTAGTGGGCACCCCGTATTACTGAACTAAATTATCATCACTCGGTGCCTTGCCGACTGGCATGGGCGAACATGAACCTCCACTTCACTCTGTCTTGTGTTGAAACGATGGTGTCTGTCGTTCTTGCTGTTCCCAGCCATGTTGTCAACCTGTCCAGTAGCTTTTCCATCTGCCTGCCTCTGCTTCTCTTTCCATCTCTTGCCTGTCACTTTCGTATATTATTGAACTAAATAGAATAACGATAATAAAAAAAAAACGACTAATGTTGTCTGAGTATGAGCATGGAGTGTTTATGTTTAATTTGTATTTTGTCATTGGCAAAACATAATTTGATATCAGTATAACATTAGTGGGCAGAAAAACCAACCCAGCTTTTTGCTAAAACTCAGTACGATAAGATTATTTGATCATGTGACTTTTGCTTACATAACGAGCTTCCAGGCAGGATAAATCGCCAGTTAATCGATAAGCATGGTATCGTTAACTTGTGCTGGTAAAGGCCCAGCCTTTGCCTTTCTAGTTTCAGCTTGTTTTCTTTCGTTGTTTAACGATGTCAACGGTTACGAGCCTAACTGGAAGTCGATAGATTCAAGGCCTCTGCCTGGTTGGTACGATGATGTCAAATTGGGTATCTTCGTCCACTGGGGAGTTTTTTCAGTCCCCAGTTTCTCTTCGGAGTGGTTCTGGTATAACTGGAAAGTCAGAGAATATCCGCCAATTATTGAATTCATGGAGAAGAATTACAAGCTAGACTTTACGTACGCAGACTTTGGCAAGGAATTTACTGCTGAGTTTTTTGACGAGAAGAAATGGGCAGATCTGTTCGGGAAATCTGGTGCAAAGTAAATGTTAAAAAAAAAAACCCACCCTACTTTTTATATTATTATTAGCGTACGAGCAATTGGGTTAGGCTTAATGTGATGGTATGCACAATGCATGCCCGTAAGGGCATACAAAAGTCTGTATCCTGACTATGAATACATTTTCTTAAAATGAAAGAAAAAATGGTTAATCTGATTTCTGTCTTTTCTGTCATTCTGATCTCAAACAAAAATATCTTTTCGATGCTGTTATAGTATAAACAAGACAGACTACTTAGAAGACGCCTGTACCACCCCTCGGGACTATAAATTGGCTCTGTTGACGAAAATATGATCACAATAATGCTCCGACGTGCAGAACGGTGAAGGAAACAGACAGCAGAACAGTGTGGCTATAAACTTCTTCTACACACATCCCACTGCATATTTATTGTACATTCTGACATTTTTCCAAATCTGAGAAAAAATATTAAAGGACCGCGTTTCCACAGCGACGAAGATGCAGCAGTTGCAGCTTTCTACATTTTTGTTCTATTGACCTTTAGGGAAAGATTCAGTACCTTGATTTCAAACTTTCAGTAAATAAAACAAAATGAACAGAACACTTCTGAAAGGGCACATTTCCGAGTTTTGTTCGATTTCCCTGTAGATTATTCTTTAGTGACCTTTCTATGAATCAGGCAGCTGCCTTATTGCCATTTCGCTGGTTTTGAGACTTCTTAATCTCGAGGATAAAATGATCTATCTTTCACTTTCACAAATTACTTTCCTGGCTTAAGTAATTGCAACTGGGAACCGAAAATTGACACCTGGGACGTAGCTATGTCGTTTTTTCTGTAATAAAGTGACTTCAGTCTATACGTTTCGATGTCCCTGTCAAACAACAGAGGTGGGTGGTTGGCACTTGCTCTGGTATGATCTGGTCCTTCTTTCTTGTTAAACTTCTATGGTCCTTATCTCTCGTCCTTCATATTGTGTTTGCTACTCTCTTGTAACATCTCTAATTTACAGCACTTAAAATATGACCTTATTGTGTTGCAAGTGCCTTAAAACACTTACTCCCCCCGAACCCCCCCAACCCCCCCCCCCAACAACAAAAAAAAAAGCAAAAACAAAACCTAACAGTTGTAATAGTGCTTTGAAACCTTAGTTTATGTTTATGATTCCGAAATGTGACGGAGAAGTGTATACATATCATCGCACTTCACAAAGAAACAAAATAACGCATTACGAGTATCACAAAATTATGATGGGTTTTAAAGTATTCTTTTTTTTACTATAATGAATGAATGCCACCTTCTAAAAGTAGTATTTTTCCCTTTCAGGTATGTGGTCTTCGTAAGCAAGCATCATGAAGGATACACAAACTGGCCGTCCAAATATTCCTTCAGCTGGAACTCGATGGCCGTTGGGCCTAACAGAGACATTGTCGGTAAGGTGGCGTCGGTGGTCAAGCGGTTAGGCTACCGGGCTCGTTATCGGGAGGTTGCGGGTTTGGGGGTTCGAGCATGAGTCCAGAAGCTGTGTCCTTTGGACAGGCACTTGACTCGAATTTTCCTCATTTCACCCCGGTGTGAATGGGTACCCGGCCATAGACAGAGAAAGATCTTGTCAGTACGTTGGGGTTTTAGCGCTTATAGAATTTCAGATTGCATTGTATGCCTACCTGGAAGTTGAGATTGTTTCAGAATGCTGTAAATAAGGTCCACCGGGGTAATACTATAGAATGTAAAGCTTATAGAGCTTGCTGCGGGACACTATACGCTTATTATTATCATTATCATTATCTTCATGATAATAATATCAATTAATTTATGCTTGTTTATTAGGTACATAATCTAGATTTGGGATGGTTTGTTATGGATATTACAATGATATGGATACGGAAACTGCAAGGTTATTAAGAAGGGTGAACTGAATCCTAAATTATTATGTGTCAGTGTTCGCTCTTAGAGATTGTCATCTATTTATAATCACTTTTGGAGTTTTTCCCCAGGTGAGCTCATGAACGCTACACGAAGCCGGACTGACCTGAGGTTTGGCCTGTATCACTCAATGTATGAGTGGTTCCACCCTTTGTATCTGAAGGATAAGGAATCTGGATATAAGACGCAAGATTTTGTCAATGTGAGTTTGGATTAATAGTCGCCACACAAAGTGATTTTTTCTCCGTAAAAATAATCAAACCATGTTTGAAAACACTGCCCGTTTTAGGAGAATTTGATTACCCCATCCCTTGTTTTATGTTTTAGTAAGAGTTTTACGGCACTTGCAACACAATAAGGTCATATAAGAGCCGAAGATTAGAGGTGTTACAAGAGAGTAACAAACACAAAAAAGAAGGAGGAGATATCAGGACGATAGATGTTTGATAGGAGAGAAGAAGCAAACCATACCAGAGTACCCTCCAACCACCCATTTCAAGTATCGTGACGGACAAACTATTCCATTGACCTCGTGTGTAAACAGCTGGAGTCTTGTCTAATGAGGCGGCCTAGTGTGTCCCTGTACCTAGAACTCATGTTGTAGTAAACGATGAGATTGACGCTGGAGTTGACGGAGTACAGGAAGTAGGACACTGCCCAACACACGCCGTACGCGTAACCATAGCGACGCCCGTAATAAAATTCTGGCAGCAACAGGTTGGCGATAGGGGTGGCCTGAGCTGGTGCAAAGCAAACTATGAATACAGTGGACACGATGACCACCATCTTGACCACTCGCTTCTCTCGACTGAGCGACGACTCGGCTGTATTCGCCAACGTCACAACGCGAGCTCTGTACGTGACCCTATTCCGCCATTTTGTTTCGTTTCTCAGGGCAAGTATCAGAGTTCCGGTACACAGAAGTAGACTGATAAAAGAGATAATCTGCAAGCTCGTACAGAGGATGTTGGACACGATAAATCTCATTGGTCTTACATTGACGGCATGGACATACAGCATGTATCTTGGAATTATATTCGTGCAAGGGTCTCGCTGGCCCACGAAACTAACAAATGACAATGCGGGAAAAACAGTTGCCATAGATACTGTAAAGATGGAGGCGATGATAAAGATAGACCGACCAGGCGTGATTATTTCTTTGACCTTGAAGGGTTGTGTTATGCACAAACAGCGCTCCACTGAGGCGAAAACTGCCGTACAGCAGCTGTTTAGATTGAGGCCGTAGATGATCCAGGTACCTGAAGAAAACCAAAAACATTAAACATTGTTAACGCAGGGATTTAAAGAACTTAACAAGGGTGATTGGTGCTTTTCACGACCGAAGTCTTTTCGATGTGTAGGAATTTCGTTATGTATCTGTTTTAAAAGCATGATAAATTCTCTAATATGTATAAGATAAAGTTCGAGACCTGAAAATCTGTCACTACGTGAATATATTTTCGCTATATTATGAGTGTTCGCTATGTGTATGCCTTCTTGTTCTCAAAAGGGGGTAAGGGTGTCATAATTACTTTACAGCGGAAACGCTGGATTTTGTTTTCCTAAAATGTATAGAATTGTGTACAGGTTAACAGACGTAGCTAGATTTCTAATTTCATCGATTTTGAAATTCACATTTATTTGAAACGTTTGCTGATTGCTTAAACCATTTGAATAACAAAACAATTTGTTTAAATTTAAAAAATGAAAAGAGCAAATGCATGTACAAAAAAAGTCCCCCCCACCCAAAAAACATAAGCTACCAAACCAAAAATAAAACCACTTCAGCAATACACCCCCCCCCTTTCAGCAATCTAGCTTGAATAGATGTTTGCCATTAAAATAAAGGAGGTAGTGGTCGCCGGCATCAACGATGAAATTCGCCCAAAAATTGTGGCAAAAGTTAGGTGACTTTCAAGGCTTGCGTTTCTTTGGAAACTGGAAATCTACATATTATTTTGGTGCCTTTGTCCAACGTATTTCAGTAAAAATCCACCCAAAAAATGAATTTTTAAAAAGGACAGTATAAAAGGTGTTGGGAAAAAATATCAGTTTTACTTACAAGTATACCAAACCTGTGGCGGTGCGCGTAGATAGCCCAGTTCCATGTCTGATATGATTAAAGAGTAGACGATCAATAACATAAGATTTAGCATATCGGAGATTGCCAGTGAAAAGAGAGAGACGTTGACACTTTTCCGGAAACCTTGACGCCAAAATACAGCCAGGTTGATCGCATTGGCGCCAAGACCTGCCACACACACGGGAACAGCCATCAAAAGTATGAGGACACGGGTCATGTTTGGGCTTGGCAGAAGATCAGTTTTTTCAAAGACAATTGCCCCAGTTTTATCTCCAGGTAGTGTTAGGGAGGAGTGGTTTTGCAAGTCCATATCGGAGGACGAGTTTTGAAGTAACTCTGTATGGCACATTTCGCTGCCAGTTCCCATTCCTTTCACAAGGAGGCCTTCTCATTCTTGGAGGGAGTCATCGACACAGTTATGATTGTTTGCCTGCCACCGTTATAAAATAAGTCTTTGGCCGTGTACGTCGTTGTATTTATTTTCAATGTGTCTACTGTTTGAAGAGTGACGAGGGCACCAGAGGCATTGATAGCGCAGATTATACTATAGTTGTTGCCCTTCGACAAGAATTGAGCATTTTTTTCTTTTAAAAATAAAGGACTAATCGTTGAGTCTTTATTTCATTTTCCTTCAGTCTACAACATTTTCCCTTATAGTGAAATTCAAACAAGTTCTAGAACACTTTTACTCTATTATTAATCTATTGCAAAAGAAAACGGAGAGGTAAAGACTTTATGGCAAATATTAACCTCAGAATTTTCTCGAAATCGCACGTTTTCTCAAGGGAGATACAAAAACCACAATGTGTTTATGTAGATCTATGGTAATTGTCGAGTGTAGGGCGGTAAGCGGCGAGTAAATATAACTGAGGCGACGTGTGTAACTTATGTTGACACAGGTTGGAAAACCAAAGTGAGCACCTGTCAGTCAGCGAATTATCCACTCTGCGCGACATTGTAACGTATGTAGAACGTGTCCTTCTGATGTTCGGGGTAAACAAGAAGTATGATGTTGTCCACATACCCATACACAATTATATGTAAAAACTTAATATTCTATAGGCCTTTATCTTCTTTCTTTATAGGCGTTGCCCATCTCACCACAGGATGCAGCATCCAACAACGGCTTCCACTCCGTTATATCTGCCGCTCTCCATGTCTAGGTTGAGTTTGTCCAAGTTTCATCTAACAGAAGCTTCAGATGGCCACATTTCTTCACTAATCCTTCCAACTCTATGTCTGCATGATTAATCTTACACAGTGCTAGGCATTTTTTCTCAATGCCAGAGAGTGACAGGTTTTTTAAATGGTGAAACAAGAAGAATATAGAATAGAACAATAGAAGAGTATGCTGTTCCTCTGCTTGTTAGTTCTGCAATGAGGGTGTCAATAATCGGCAAAAAAAGACTAAATGTTGAATTTTCCTCTCACATTGGGAAGCACTTCTTCCCCCGATGTCGTCTTGTAACATTCTTACTGCTTCTGGTCTTCCACCCGATCGCTTTCCCGTTTTTAGTCTCAATCCGGTGCGTCTTTCTGTCCACTCGTTATAGTTTACTCTACCCATGTTGCAAGCCCATTTATAATTTTTTTCGGAGTGTAAATTTTGTGATGTTTGTCACTCCTGTTTTCTTTCGTATTTTGTGTGCTTTATTTAATCTTATGCCCAGCATCTTCCTTTCCATTGCTCTTTGTATTGTCCTTACTTTCTTTATAATATTTCGGGAAAATGACCAAGTTGGACATCCATAGCTTATTGCTGGTACAAGGCACTGATTGGAAACTTGAATTCTCTGTGATCTCGGGAGATTTTGATCTGTAAATATTTCTCTGTATCTTCCATAGGAGCTCCAAGCCGTGTGTATCCTTCTGTCCACTACAGTTTTTGCTCTCTCTTTCATACTTATTGTTTGACCTGGGTATTTGTATTCTGTCAATTTTTCAACATTCTTGTTTATAAATAATTAAGAAAAAACCACAAAAAACCAAACCAAAACAAAAACAAAAACAAAAAAACAAAAAACAACAACCCCCCAACAACCCCCCGCCCCTACACAAAACAAAACAAAACAAAAACCAACGACAAGAACCAACCCGTGAATCTGACTTCAAAATCAAGAGGCAGACCAAGAAGGACCTGGCTTGAAAACCCCATCCCTCAAAAGCCAAACCAAACCAAAACAAACAAAAACACCCCCCAAAAAAAAACAAAAAACAAAACATCAACAACCCTCCCCTCCCCCCCCCCACAACAAAAAAATATAAAAAACAACAAAAAACAGCAACCCAAAAACAAATACAAAAACACAGAGGTATTGAGAAAACTTTACGTTGTGGATTAAAAAAAAAATTAAAAACATGCTTTTCAGCTAAAAACATTGCCCGAATTGTATGAGATTGTGGAGACCTACAAGCCTGAGGTGGTGTGGTCTGATGGGGACTGGGAAGCTCCGGATGTGTACTGGAAATCTCAGGAGTTCCTGGCTTGGCTCTACACCAATAGGTAGGCAGGACTCCTCACAGAACATAACGTTTTAACTCTTTGAATGTGAAGAGGACGCATACGTCTGATCAGCAGCAGATTAAAGATAATGTTGTGTTGCATTTCGAAGCTTCAGTAACGAATAAAAACAACATGAATTTCTTTGTTTGCAAGTTGATGCTTGCCATTAAAAAACAGAAATGAAAAATCTGAAATGGTAACTAAGGTATTGTGCTTCTTTTTTAAAGTGCCCAAAAATGCGTGTCCTAAATGAGTCATCTCTTCACTGCCGTCTAGACGTAATTATTTGCTGATGGTTAATTGCTGTTGTTTTCGATAGTCATATAGAGGAACGTTTAGGAGATGTAAATCTACATGTTATTTGCGCGTGTGCAGTTGCTTTTTCTTACATAGGGCACTATGGCTTTGTTTGAATCTCTCTTGAATGATATTTATTTTGTCCGTTAAAAAACGTAAGATAGACGTCTCTGTTATGAAGGGGTTAACAGCACACATGGATATAGTCAGCCTTTTGGGTTCAGGCTCAGAACGCTTGAGCTTGATTTCCATGAGGGATTCATCAATCTGCGTATAGCATCCCTCCTCATTCATGTTTTTCCCGCTTAGAAGGCATGGTCATAGAAGCTCTCTTTTTAAAGAGCTGCAACTTTTGAAGATTGATCAGAGACAATTTGTATCTTATAATATTGTATCAATCTAATGAAGTCTTTGCATGGATTGAAAATTGCTGTTCGAAAAATGGTAGTTTGGGCCTCTCCACTGTATCGTTGCAAAACTTATAAACTAAGATGAAAATCTAATTCTATTGTAAATGCCTGGGTTCATATAGTGCTGGAAAGAATCAAGACAAATAGATAGAAACAACATACGGAAAAAAATTGAAGTAAGACGCACCAGTGACGCCCTCCAAGTGTCCACGATATTGTCTGTTGGCGCAGACTGGGAGTTTGTTTTCTTCAGAAGTTAGTTAGTCTATCCGACTTTAGGATATTTTACAGATTCACCGCGTTTGAATCACCGTATAATCAATGAACAAAAGCACTTTCCTCGGCTCAGCTAATCTTCTCCGAATAGATGTAGGAAAATTATTTTATCCTGAATCCATGGAGGTGTTATCTCTGAATCAGAGGTTGACGTGTAATGACCCCCCACCCCCCTGTGCTCATGGACACCAGATGCCCATTATAGCTTGCTCACTTTCGATTGTTCGCGTTAAAAAAGTTCTAACTCATTTATTAAATTACTTATGTCCACAAAACTGCGCATGGCACTTCTGCAGGTCAGCAACAAAACAAAAATATATATTAAAAAAATCTTGGCCCAGTAATAACAAAGGTTTTATCTTTGGGCCCTATATTTAAAACGGCTTTTTGGATGCTTACACGAGATCACTAATATAAATGCACTCTGCCCCCATATTTTAGCGTGAGCTTGTAGGTTTCATCCACAGGCTGTCTTGTCGTATCCACGTGCTCCACGTGAGTCTCGAAAATTAGTCATCCCGTCCCTTGAATCGTGTTTCTTTGCCGAACGTTGAAGTGTGGTGTTTGAGGAAAATAATAAGTCAACTTTTAAATGTTAATATTTCAGATGTATGCCACTGATCCCCTATTATTGGAAGGGGAGGATTGCATTATCTATAAGGATGGAACAAATAATTTACAGTTCGAAAGATTCAATCGGAGATCTTACTATTAATATTACCTAACAACTTTGGACACCTTTATCATCATCTTTTTCATATCAGATCAGTGACCTTGACGTACCCCACAACAGTACACCACCTGAAAAGCTGAGCCATACCAAATGAGGCCTGAAACATTTACAACAATGACAGAGGTCCTTCAGGTTTTCATGAATGCCTCAAGGAGTAGTGGGTTATCACAACTATTCTACAAGAACTTCTTAGAAGAGAGGAAAGCCGAAAGGATTAATCGGAAGGGCTTTCTTTTTTAAAAACGATTGTATAATTAACTGTAAACTGGTCCTAAGTTCGTGATAAACAGTGTCTAAGGAGATATCTTGAATTTTTAGACCCGTTCTTGGCTATTGTAAGAGCCCTCTGATGTACCAAACTATATACTAAGCATAATGATTATTGTTTTGTACATGCTCTTGCTTTTTTGGCCTGTTCTGAGCTGTGCTAAGAGCCATCTGCCGTATCAAACTATATACTCAACATGATATTATGCTTTGTACAAGCTCAGAGTTTGACTTCAAGCAAAAAAGGTATATACTGATAAATAAAAGATAAACGCTTTTCTTTGATGACGTTTAATCTGCTATTGATAACCTGAAGAAACGACCTTGGAATACACTTTTTAAAAGTTCGATAAGCCTGCATAGTTTTGTGATTTTCTTGTTTGTAACTGGGTTTAGGAAGAGTACGCCCTATTATTAATGCTTGCAGCAACGAACATTTCTGATTCTAAAACTGTTCGCAGTCTTCTTCAATGATCTTTCCCTTATCGTTCTTTCTGTCTAACGAGATGTACATTTAGCATTGAGCAACAGCAAATTCTATTCAGTTATTGCAACTATGATCTGAATATTCTCTAATTAAGTTAGTCTTACCGCTTCTCCACTTGCCTACTTTGATTTATGAATGACTACGATGAGGATGGACGTCTTACTAGGTCATTCGTTACCCTTTCTATGCTGAGCCGTTTCCATTTACAGTCACCTCATTGTGCAGTCGAGGTATTTTTCCACCAGAGATTCAAATAAAGCCAATATAATTATGTTTCCCGTTTAAAAAAAAATAGGCAACTGCACAAGTTGGTGGGTGTTTGACAGGTGCTCTGGTGTGGTTTGCTCATTCTTTCCTATGAAACATCAATCGCTCGTATCTCTCCTCGATCTTTGTTATGTTTGAAAATATATTGAGATACTTCTAATCTGCTGCACTTATAATTATATGACCTTATTGTTTTGAAAGTGTCGCAAAATAAGAACAACAGATGTCTGCAAATACGATACTTCTGACAATCCACTAGATCTACAAACTAAGAGGTGGAATGAAAGTGAACTGGCTTGGAAGAACCCATGTGAATATTATACGTCTACTTAGAAGTGAAAGGGTTAAACCCGTTTGTTTAGTAAGTTTTCAAAGTTCTCAAACCACTTGTCTCGGTCCTGTGCGCCGTGGTAAACAGCGGCAAAACGTTGAAAGAGCCTGCAAACTTATACCACGCCATATGTAATAATTTATTTATTATGTGAACCATAATGTGTGACACACATATCATATTGCAATTAAAAAGGATATACAACATTTTGGGCTCAGTACTTTTTAATAGCTTGCCGTCAATTTCCCTTTGTGCCAACCCCCCCCCCCGCTCTCCCCCAGTTCGGTGAAGGACACGGTTGTTGTGAACGACCGGTGGGGAACGAACGTGAGCTGTCATCACGGAGGCTTCTACACGTGCGGGGACCGCTTCAACCCAGGTCAGTTGAAAAAATACTATGAAATAACAAAACCCAACTCATTTTTAAAAATGTGTAAAAAATATAATTGTTTTATGCCCAATCGACACAAATCGTTTAGTAGGTGCGATTCTAATAGGGGGTGCACACTACGGCTGGGATCGGCCGATCGGGCCCATCGCCCGACTCGATCTCCTCAAAAACAAACGTTTTCATTTTCGGGCGATCGAGTCAGGCGATCGGCCCGATCCAGCCGTAGTGGGCACCCCGTATAACCCTCCCTGTGGGGGCTAACCCGGTCTGAGAGGGATACAATGGTTTTTTTTATAGCAGAAAGACCGATGTGCTCGATTACACAAAAAAATGTTTCCACCAGGGAATCAAACTCACGTTTCCTGCATGCGACAATTAAGCGCTTTACCGCTATACCAGAGACACCTGTTGATTGATAAATGTAATAAATAGATGACTGGCACGAAAATGTAGCCAGCTTTTTAAAAAACAACAGCGTCAAAATAAAAACTTATGGAATTGATCCTGAAGATGTGGTCTTAATCGACACCGAACTAGTTTGATTATCTACAACGGGATAATGTTGGTAAAGCAATTGTTCTCTTTGCACTGTTTCCTGAACTTCTATTTTTGTCAAACTGATTGTCTTATCAATGTGTTTTGATCACCATCTATATACACACAGGTGTCCTTCAGACACATAAATGGGAAAATGCAATGACCATCGACAAATACTCATGGGGCTACCGACGTGATGCTGCGCTGGACAGTTATTTGAGCATTGAGGAATTGCTGCAGACATTCATCATTACTATCAGGTAAGGTTTTGGTTTAGTTTTAGTAAGAGTACACAGTTAAGTCATATACGTGCTGAAGATCAAAGGTGTTTCAAAATAGTTTTAAAAAATAAAAAGAGGAAGAAAGATAAGGAGAATAAATATATTTTTTGATAGAAAAGAAGAAGCAAACCCCAACAGAGCACCCACGAGCCGTCCATTATTAGGTGAGGGTCAATAGAGTTTTAGTGTCTAGCAAGATACAACTCTCTATGTACCCCAAGATAACGAAATGGTAAGTTTGAGTGATCAAGATTAAAGTTGGTGAAGGTAGGAAACGGGGGGGGGGGGGTCTGTGGTCTGTGGAGTCTCCCAGACTAGTTTGTTGTAAACTGGTACACTAACTGCAGTAAAGAAGTTCCCTGTTCAAATGACAAGTTCGTCAATTTCTAAAAAGAAGTGTTCAATTGTTCAATAATTGTTCAAACGTCATCGTCGTTTTGTTTTGATAGAATGGACTGTGCTTGTGAGGAAGGTTTGAAATACTAAAATGTACTTTGTAATGGTGACTAAGACAGCTTCTTGTCAGAACTTCAAATAGACTTCTGGCTACATTAATTAGGTCTTAAAACTCACTTGCACCTAATTTATTATGTTGACAAAATTACGGTTCAAATCTTTGTCCATCTGAAGGATGTTCAAGTCTTGAAATTCAGGTAGTGCAAATTATGCAATGTGTGTGGTTGGCGGGTGCTCCGGTGTGGTTTGCTCCTTCTTTCCTGTCAAACTTCAATCATCCTTATCTCTTCCCCTTCTTTTTGTGTTTGTTACTTTCTTGTAACACCTCTAATCTTCGGCACTTACATTACCCAAGTGGGTTTCAGGAGCCTTAAAACTCTTGCAAAAATAAACAACATTATGTAATGAAAGGAAGTTGAACCGGGGGATATAGATTGTCCACTGAGCCAACGGTAAGTGGGGCATATCCTCTATGATGGACTGACACTCTCTGGAGCAGGAGTTGTATCTTTTCTCTTTCCTCCATTATTACTTTGTCTTTAGTTAGAGATCACTTTTCTTTGTGTTTTTCTATTCCCCGAGGGTATTAATAAATGTCATAACCCCCGAAAGTATCACCCCCCCAAAATAAAAAAAAAATTTTTTAAAAATAAATCCTGGCATCCCGAAATCAAAACAAAACAAAGCATACCCCATTGTGAGCTAAGACAAACTTGTCTCTAGAAAGCTGTTAGAAGTATTTGAATATACACACCAAATAAACAGACATGGTTTCTGAGTTTTGATACCATTTTTAATGCTCTTACTATTGATGTAGATATTAAGTTGGTTTGTCAAGAGAATAATCGTAGCACAAAACATAACACTTTCGATAAAATCACAACCCTAGAATGACAAAGCTATCAGCTCAGCACCTAGTATTGAGCAGCCTGACGTTGAAAATTTTGAGCTTCACACTTTGTCAAGCTTTTTCGAATGCAGTTCTCTGAAAATCTTGATAACGACTCCGAATAATCTTACGATTTTGATAGAGCAGATAGAACAATTATTTGGTTTCTGACCCCGTGGTCTAAATAACTCAAAACGGCCAAGAATGTCAGAGAGAACTTTGTACTTCTAAGATACCGAAATGTCTGTGAATTTAATAAAGGAAGCAGTTTTAAATAAAACTAGAAAATCAATTAATGGTCATGTCCATTTAAAAAATAAGTTAAGCCATGCATAAAAGAGGAGCAGCTATATGTAGCTTTGTCTCTTCAGTATGCTTCTGACAGTGTGGCAGAAAATCTTCATTCCCCATCAAAAATGTTTTTTTACGCTATTTATTTTATTTTTCAGCTGCGGAGGCAACATGCTGATGAATGTGGGACCTCCCAAACATGGCCAAATTGCTCCGATATATGAGGAACGACTAACTCAGATGGGGTCCTGGCTCGAAGTTAACGGCGAGGGTGTCTATGCTTCCAGGCCTTGGACTTACCAGAATGAGACCGTGACCAAAGGTGTATGGTGAGTAACATTTTTTTCTCGTGTATGCATGAAGAGATAAGATAAGATAAATAAGAATTTTTGAAATTAATTTCCAGGAAGAGAAATTGCTGTGGCATTGCACACACACACACACACACACACACACACACACACA